TGATCACCCTCTGGCATTCCAAGACTTACACTGATCACCACTAAGCACTGGGGAGAGCAGATGCTCTTTTCCTATGTGAATGTAATACCCATTCATAAAATTGGAAAGTGGCTATCTGAGGCCCCATGAAGTCACAAATGCCATTAATCCCTGGCATTCTCACTCTAATGATATTTGTCTATTTGGATTCACTTTGCTTTTCACCCTTCCTAGATTAACCCTGACCAAGACCTGGCTCTCCATGCCATACATGTGTTTACAACAATCAAGAAAGAACTGAAATAAACAATGAGAGAGAGAGTAGAAAAAATGCTGGCCTCCCACTGGCACTCCAACATTTGGTTGCAATGGAAAGTCACAGTCCTGAAAAGCAGTCATGGAATCTTGTTTTCTACCTCAGGAAAACCCTAGAGTACATCTGAACTTACACCTGAGACAACCAGGGAAGTCCCCAGAACAAACTCTTTTAGGAAAAGAGGTCTGGTGCATGGGTGATGTCTTTCATTCAGACAGCCCATCCACCAGCCACACACAATTGTAGGCAAATTTACTGGGACCTTCACAGCGAACACACAGGCGCGCACACACACACACACACACAGAGATTTGTTCCAGTCACACATACATTTCACCTCAGTTCTATGAACCTAAATTTCCGGTTTTCTACACCTACACCAATATCTACTTTTACTCTATTAAGTTTTATCAACACTTAGAACTCTCTCCTGGTTTTCTTAGAACTCATATATCCTAATATCAGATATCCCTAAGGAAATAATCAGCTTTCAAAATAAAACAAAATTCACCAAGATTGTGACTGAGTAGTAGTTATCCACATTCAGAGGATGAACTGGCCCATAAATATCTAACTCATCCCCAATTTCTTTCCCTGTCTTTCATTAATTGCTTCCATTACCCCAACCCCAGCCTGAAGAGGTGTTATGGCCCAGTTAGCCTGAGACAGAAAAGACATAAAAGCTTCCCATTAATTCTCTGTCACAGATTTCTTAAGCTTGAATAATGTTTAAAAGAGAAAAAGCTCCCATAAAATCCTACTGTTGCTGTACATTATTTTTATTGTGTTACTTTAAAATGAACAGATATAAAACTAGATATAAATTTCCCATACACATAGCTCTTAAATTACTTTAAAACTCAAGCAAAGCTGCAAATTAAAAACAAACAAACACACAAATGTCACTAGAGTTCATATAGAAAACATCAGTGTGATAAATGATGTTTTGCTGGAACTAAATTGCTGGCATTGGATTTAATAGACCTACTATTTGTATGTTTTATGCTTTACTTTCTGTCCACTTGATTCTTTTGACTTTGAGCAATACTGGATATCTTAAGTCTTTCTTGAAGTTATTGTAGGATTAATCATTTTTGGTAAATAAGCTTGTTTTAACTACTAATCCATTAGTTTGAGGGGCTGATAAATTTAATAGTGCATCACAGTAAGTACATAATAATAAAAAATACTGAAGACTAACATTAAAAATACTACTGAATAAACCAGGCACAGTGGCTCATGCCTGTAATCCCAGCACTTTGGGAGGCCAAGGAGGGTGGATCACGAGGTCAGGAGATCGAGACCATCTGGCTAACATGGTGAAACCCCGTCTCTACTAAAAATACAAAAAAAAAAATTTTGCCAGACGTGGTGGCGTGCGCCTGTAGTCCCAGCTACTCGGGAGGCTGAGGCAGAAGAATGGCGTGAACCCAGGTGGCAGATGTTGCAGTGAGCCAAGATCACGCCACTGCACTCCAGCCTGGTTGACAGAGTGAGACTCCGTCTCAAAATTAAATAAATAAATAAAATAAATAAATAAATATATATATATATATATATATATATGGAATAAAAATAACTGTATTCTTTCCTGCTATTGAATGACAGTTTAAGTTGGTATGTCTCACAATAACTCTGTTCTCAACATGATATGCCACTTCTATGACAGGTCTTTTGAACTAAGGATGTCTGTACTACTTTTGGGCCACAAAATTGATCAATTTTCCCACATCTTTCTCTATTCAAACTTAATACAAAATCGACATTTCCGTAGCATGCCATGATGTTATTTGTTCTTCGTTTGGCACCAAACTCAGCCTTTAGCACTAAAAATAATGTAGTAGAACATTTTGATTTTATTTTTTTACGATTATCTTCAAAATAAAAGCAGAAAATTTGAAAATGCTCATGAAACACTCACTCCCTCAAGAACACACCTACAGACCTACTTTGAGAAACAGAGCTTTAATAGCACAAAATGCGTTACAGAGGAAATATTTAAATTGTATTTTACTAATGCCTTAGGAGATATTAAGTGGTGAGAGAACCCTATCGGTCCATCTTTATCCTGGAGCCCCCAATGGGGCTATCTTTCAGCCTCATCTCAAGTCAGACCTCTTAGGCAAGTCAAGACCCAGAACAGACAGCGCTCCCTCTGCTGCTAGCCTGAGGACTGTTTTCCATCCCTTTTCCCATGAGGGGACTCATTACATATGGTCCCTGGGCTGGCTTCCTCCCACGGTTCACTCTTGTCTCATTACCTGGGGTAAGAACCCTCTTGCCAGCTTTAATTATGAGCAAGTTTATAGCCTTCCTAGACCATTAGCTCAAGGATCACAAATAGGATTGCCTCCACTAATTGACAGATACAATGGTTCCAGTCCACTAGACCTTCCTCCCACAGCCCTGGGGATACCCTTGTTTTCTACCCTCCTCAGACCCCTCCCTTTACCCCCACGCCCCACCACCTGCCCAGGCCAACCAAAACAAAGATGCTGCAGGAAGTACTGGTAGTTCAGATATCTCCTTGGTCAATGTAGATATTATTTTCCTAGGCCTGAGGATCTACTGAATAACAAAGTCAAGGGGTTTTTGTGGAAGAAAATTCAACTTTGAGAAAAATGGGTGAATTAGTTGGGTTGCCGAAAAGGCCTCTTCAGGGAAAAGGTTTCCTCTTTATTTGGCCAAGGGCCCTCTTCACAATCTTCCCATTTGTGGCTCCACTTTGCTGTCCCCTTACATAGTCGTGGTCAAAGCCAGATAAAATATTACGTGGAAATAAATGAAGTTAGTAAAAGGAGCTTACTGAAAATAAAATTATACCATTATCACAACAATAAGATAAAACAGCAGAAAAGAGAATAAGAAGCATGAACACCAAGAATAAATAATATAAAATATGAAAAATCAAAAACCAGAAGTTTAAAAGACAAAATAGGCAAAGAATAATACTAACTAAATGAATTTACTAGAAAGACAAAAAAAAGAGTCATGCACTAAATGGAAGGAAAAATTAAATGCCAAAAACAGTGTGCAAAGGTTGACATCCTCCAATAGGGCAAACTGGGTGAGTCCTTTGAGCTGTGTGTGCTGCAAACTTCCCACTTGACTGACTTACCAGGGTCAAGCATCATCGCTGAAGGCAGTCCTGAGGGGAGGGTCTTTTCTTAGGGGAGGTCTCCTCAAGTCAGCAAACTTCAGCACAGAGAAGGTCAGGGCAATGAAGATCTCACCATTCAGCTCAAACCTCCAGGCACTTTGAGGTAGCTTTCATTCCATAATTAAGAAGCTTTGCAATAGACATTATATTGTTCTGGTTGAATTTCCAACCTAGCCCCTCTGCAAAACCATGGCCTAATTGGATGGTTTCTCCATAATCAGAAAGTGTGCCTTCCGGTATCTATTAATTGTATATTTTATCCTGGGAGGCCACGCTAGAAAGAAACAGGGTCTTGACGACATCCTTGTTTATTGCCTCTGCAGCCCACCCTGTTCCGGGCTGGTTCACGTTCGACTGTGGCTGCTTAGCTAATTCACAAAGTAGTGGATTCCAGGCCTCTGGTCAAAATACAGGCTTCTGTTGTTTTACTCTAGTAATAGAAACAAACATTTGTTTCTATTTGGCAATTAATATATGCCGAAATCCTCACCGCCCGCCTGCCCCGGTCTAGGGAGAACTGGCAGAGCCAAAGCCCGCGGAAGCAGCCGTCCCTGGTTGGAAGCCGTGGGAGGAGCTTTCACCTCTTGGCTCTATTTTTACATTTTCAGGGTAATATGTTCTCAAGACCATTAAGACAGTGCTGAAAAGGCTATTTTTTGAGACAGAGTCTCCCTCTGTCACCCAGGCTGGAGTGCAGTGGCGCGATCTTGGCTCACCGCAACCTCCGCCTCCTGGATTGAAGCGATTCTCCTGCCTCAGCCTCCTGAGTAGCTGGGATTACAGGTGCATGCCACCACGCCCGGAGAGTTTCTTGTGTTTTTAGTAGAGACACGGTATCTCCATGTTGACCAGGCTGGTTTCAAACTCCTGACCTCAAGTGATTCACCCACCTTGGCCTCCCAAAGTGCTGGAATTACAGGCACGAGCCACTGCGCCCGCCTGGAACAATTTCTTAACAACTCTTTCTAACATTTTGGTTACGGCTCCTGCCTGGGTCATCTATGGCTGGTTACCCTCCATAGACTGACCTTCACCTGCCCAGCCAACACTGCGGCTTCTGCCGAAACTCTTGCCCTCACCTGTCTTTCCTCCCAACTTACATCCCCTGCTGACCTGCCTCACTTCTCTGCTTTTTTAAGACATCAGACTTTAATAAGGGAAATCAAACTAATGTAATTAAGGATAAACACATAAATAACTGGTGGACAGGAATGAAATTAGCTGCTCTTTTTCCTTCGTGTCATATTTCCACTGGCTTCTCCTAGCCAGGTGACTTTCCATTCTCTTTCTATTTTTGGAGATCCTAATGGACTGCAAAGTCCTAGTTTGTTCCTCAATTGCTTTGTGTATACTACTCAGGTTTTCCCCAAAACACTAAATTCCCTGAGGCAGAGATGATGTCCTACTTCTTTTGTGCTCCCACAGCACCTAACAGATAGATGACTCCAAAGGTGTTGCTTAATAAATGCTTACTGGTTGGTCAGTTGATTAATTTAGAATTCAACTATTGTTTAGTTTGGCATGCCCATGGAAAGTGTAAGTTCAGCATTTAAATACCAGTAAGATGTGCAGAAAAAAAAAAAACAGTGATATGAACGGGGAGGATTATTTATCAAATTGATGCAGGGTTTTTTTTTATTTGTTTTGTTTTGTTGTTGTTGTTGTTGTTGTTTACCATAGTTGAGGGATGTCTTTTTACCTAAGAAGAGAGAGCAAACAAAATTGAGTACATTCATACTTTACATCAAACTCTAGGATATTACAGCTCAATAGACACTAAAGATTTTCCTAACCCAACTCTACCTCCCTGATTTGAAGTGAGAAAGCAGAAACCTAGGGAGGTGAAGGAATTACCCAATTTTCCAAGAGAGAATTATCTCCCAGGTTCTCAAATTTTACTTTTTAGTAAATATTGCTTAATTTTTATTCTTACCACTACATTTACAAACCACTTATTATAATACATTATATTCTTTCGTTTAACTTTTTAATATGAAAAATGTCAAACATAGAGAAAAGTTGCAAGAATAGTAAAATAAGGGGAGGGAGAGCATTAGGGCAAATACCTAATGCATGCAAGGCTTAAAACCTAGATGACAGGTTAATAGGTGCGGCAAACCACCATGGCACATGTATACCTATGTAACAAACCTGCATGGTCTGCACATGTATTACAGAACTTAAAGTAAAATTTAAAAAAAAATAGTAAAATAAATATTCATTTACTCTCCACCTAGATTTTTTTTTTTTTTTTTTTTGAGACGGAGTCTCGCTCTGTAGCCCAGGCTGGAGTGCAGTGGCCGGATCTCAGCTCACTGCAAGCTCCGCCTCCCGGGTTCACGCCATTCTCCGGCCTCAGCCTCCAGAGTAGCTGGGACTACAGGCGCCTGCCACCTCGCCCGGCTAGTTTTTTTTTTGTATTTCTTTAGTAGAGACGGGATTTCACTGTGTTCGCCAGGATGGTCTCGATCTCCTGACCTCGTGATCCGCCCATCTCGGCCTCCCAAAGTCTCCACCTAGATTTGACATGGCTAATATTTTGCCATGTTTGCTTCTCTCTGTGTAGATAGGTAGACATTGTTTGTTAGTTTTGGGCTGAATCATCTGACACTGAGTTTCAGACATTGTAACTCTTCAGCGCTAAACACCCTGCCTACATCTCTGGAGCACAGACAGTCCCCTACATTACCATTATTACACCAAATAAAATTAGCAATTGTTCATAATACCACTGAATAACAAGTTCATATTTGAATTTCCACCTTTTTCCCAACAATATCTCTTATAGTTGCATTTATATTATTAACCTGAACCCAATCACATTTCATGCATTATACTTCATTATGGTGACTCTTTTAACAGAACGGTCCAGCCATTCTTTCTTGATATTAACATTTTGAAATATCCAACTGAGTTATCTTGTAGAACGTCCTAGGTTATGGATCACATTACCGTTTACTCTTGAACAACATGGGTTTGAACTGCATGGGTTCATTTATACATGGATTTTCTTCTTCCTCTGCTGGCCCTGAGACAGCAAGAACAACCTCTCCTCTTCCTCCTCCTCCTCAGTCTACTCAATGTGAAGACAATGAGGATGAAGATCTTTGTGATTATCTACTTCCACTTAATGAATAGTAAACATATTTTTTCTTCCTTATGATTTTCTTAATAAGTTTCTTTTCTCTAGCTTATTTTACTGTAAGAGTACAGTATATAGTACATATAGCATACAAAATTATGTGTTAATGAACTCTGTTGTCAGCAAGGCTTCTGGGCAACAGTAGACTACTGGTAGTTAAGTTTTGGAGGAGTCAAAAGTTATACATGGGTTTTCAACTGCATGGGGGGGATCAAAACCAATGGACAAAGTCATCTGAAACAGAATGTGTCTGACAGTTTAGCAAGTAAAAAGACTAAAAGAGTCAGTCAAAGCAGGGTTAGTCAGCCATGAAAAGCATAAAAACAGGAGCATGAGGATGGTGAACATCAGCAGAGCCCATGTAAGAAATGCCCACTGGAGACGGTGCCTCAGCCAACAGCTTTGAATAATCCAACACCTTTGGAAAGGCTGTTCCTACAGTAAATGTGGCAGTATCGGCTCTCCCAGTTTAATGCAGTTAAACGTTTGAATCATCTAACTACCTCACTCTTTTGAATTCCACGCTCACTAAGCAACCTTCTGATAACTTGCCTTCCTTGGAGGTCTGACTTCATTGAAAGAATGTGCAAGCTGTATGGAGACGAGTGTTCCAGACACAGTGGCGGTTTTATTCCTCTTGTGAATCAATAAATTGACATACTGGTTTCATGCAACAGCTCTCTGAGCTTAATTAATTAGAGTTGAAGCTGAGAAATGGATCCACACTCAGTGTGCTGACAAATCCAGTTGCTAAACCTGCAGGGCATAGACCAGACCCTGGACTAAAGCAATGCCACCCTGTGAGGTCTCTCAGGAGACAGCAAATGCTCATCCTCTCATATCCCCATATTGCCTTTGGCAATTAAATTCCTCTAAGCTTTGCATCTGTCTACTGACTCTGAAGGCATTGATTTATAGGGAGTGAACCAGATGTGGATTGGCAAATCTCTAATCCCTTTTACAGAGAGGACACTAGAGTGAAATTGGAACAAATATGACCCTTCTCATGGATCAGCTAAAGCAATCTTTAGTGTAGTTTGTGTCTGCAGATGTTATTTGATCCTGGCCCACTTTCAGCTAACTTCGGTTAAGGAAATGCCATCTGTGTCCCTAGGTTGTGAGTATTAAGCATCCTTTCATATCTGTCAATTTTCTCCACTTTAAACTGAGGATAATAATATCTATTATGTTATTGATTACTAATCCTTCATTCAACAAATATTTATTGACTGCCTGCCATGTGAAAGCTACCATGCCAGGTACTGGTGGTATTTGGGAAATAGAGATGCTTGGTTTCTGCATTCCAATGGGGGAAATATAATTTAAATAAATTTCATTAGTCCAGTTGGGCTGCTATAACAAAATACCAGAGACTGGGTGGCTTAAACAGAAATTAATTCCTCACAGTTCTGGAGGGGGAAGTCCGAGATCGAGGTGTCAGCCAATTTGATGAGGGTTGTTTTCCAGGCTTGTAGATGGCCACCTTCTGGCTCCATGCTCACATGACCTCTTCTTTGTGCATGTGCAAAAAGGAAGAGAGGAGAGAGAGAGCAGGAGTTCTCTGTCGTCTTTTCTTATAAGAACACTAATCCTGTGGGATGAATGCCCTACCTATATACCCTCATTTAACCTTAATTACTTCTGTAAAGACCCTATCTCCAAATACAGTCATATTGGGGGTTAAGGCTTCCACACATAAATTTAGGGCAGGGGGAGGGTACACAAATATCAACAAAGGCGAGTGATTGATTGATTGATTAATATTACACTATGGTCAGAGTTGCAAAGAAGCTGCGATAAGAAAAACCCTTTTGGCCAGGCGCGGTGGCTCAAGCCTGTAATCCCAGCACTTTGGGAGGCCGAGATGGGCGGATCACTAGGTCAGGAGATCGAGACCATCCTGGCTAACACGGTGAAACCCCATCTCTACTAAAAATACAAAAAAAAAATTAGCTGGGCAAGGTGGCGGGCGCCTGTAATCCCAGCTACTCGGGAGGCTGAGGCAGGAGAATGGCGTGAACCCAGGAGGTGGAGCTTATAGTGAACTGAGATCCGGCCACTGCACTCCAGCCTGGACAACAGAGCGAGACTCCATCTCAAAAAAAAAAAAAAGAAAAAAGAAAAACCCTTTTGGGAGGATTAAATGAGTCACCTACCTGATTCTTTACCCCCTCTATTTCTTTCTTCCTATCTATATAACCTTATTTGATCTTTGTCTATGATCAAAGACTAGAGGACGAATGGCACAGTCTCTCACCAACTTGTCCAACGTGTCTCTCCTCATTTTCTTTCTTTGCTATGGAATCTAATCCCCCAACCTATAAACAGTGCTCCCCATTGGGATAAAAATTTATAGCTGCGAGGATTGAAAAAAACATGCAGCATGAGCATCAGCAGAAGATGCTGGGTCTTTCTGACTCCAGAACCCACTATGCCTCTACTGCTGCCCCCACTGCCCCCTGAAAAGGGTAACCTGGGCAACCTTGGCCACTGGAGTTTATATACCCACTGTTCTTGCTGCTGCTGGAAGCTGGCAGAGCACATCTCCTTCAGTGATACGTCCGTTTTTGTTTTTATCTTTCTCTTGTCTTGGGACCTCAGAATAAATTCACTCAGTACTTGCACTGGATGAACTTCAGCTCTTTTCTACCCTAAAAGGAGTTCTTTATCTACTCAGAAGACGCCCCTCACCCCAGATGAAGGAGGAGGCTTGGCTCACCCCTTGTTCTCGGGAATATTAATTCTAGTTTTTATGAGTTGAATGTTGTCTCCGCAAAAATTCATGCTGTAGTTCTGTCAGTACCTCAGAATGTGAGCTTATTTAGATACACGGTCTTTAGAGAGATCATTAAGTTAAAATGAAGTCATTAAGGAGTGAGCCTTAATCCAGTATGACCGGTGTCCTTATAGAAAGGAGAAATATGGAGACAGATACACATACAGCAGGAATATGATATAAACAAGGAGATAACCACCGATAAGCCAAGGAGAGAAGCCTGGAACGGATCCTTCCCTCACTGCCCTCAGAAGAAACCAACCCTGCCAACACCGTGATTTCAGAAGTCTAAGCTCCAGAGCTGAGATAACAAATGTCATTGTTTAATCTCCCAGTTGTGGTATTTTGTTATGGTGGCTCTAGCAAATTAATACACTAGTGTTTAGGGCCCGGCCTCAGTCTTAATGTCCTCTCTACCTATTTTATTTATGTCAACAAGACTCCTAAAGACCTGCCCTGATATGCCAGGACCTTGAAGTCCTCATATAGATCAGTCTTTCCCTCCCCCATGGCTGTCACTTCACTGAGAATGTACCCCCTTAGTGTCTCCTATATATGAAAGTCACTTCTTCAGCAACTAAGGATTAAATATGAGTAAGATTCAAAGTTTTGAAAGTCTAATGAAAACTTTTGTTGCTTTTCTTTATTCCTGGACCTGAGGTGGTGCCAGGGTAAAGAGTGGGAGAGTGGTCACAGCCCTATCCACAGAGCAGGCCCTCAGCTGGCCTTTGCCTGTCTTTCATTCCAGGTCCCAGGCCTAAGGAGCAGCCATACTGTGGGACATGCCCTTCTCATGGCAGAGAGCAGAAGCTCAAGAGGAGCAAACCAAAATACGCCTTGTCTCATAACCTTGTGCTTAGAACTGGCGCTTTGTTGCTTCCACCATGTTCCACGGATCAAAGCAACAATTAAAGCCAAGCCCCACATAAGTGGAGCAGGGGTGCACATGGTCCCTTCAGGGCGCATGGGCAAGTCACACCATGGGCAGGGCTGTGTCACCCTATTACAGGGGAAACTAGGAGTTGGGAACAACAGTTCTCTCTACCACAGATTTAGAGTGTACTCTTTTGAGGAACTGGATTGTAAAAGTAAACAGAGCAGTAACTAAAGGAAGATAAGAAGCCAACTATGGCTTCCATTTTGTTTTATTTTTCAGGTAGGAGACATTTAAATAAGTTTACATATTACTGGGGAAGGAGACAGAAAGTAGGAGCAATAAAAATACAGAAATGAAAAGAAAGAAGTGATGAACATCACTTGGACAATTCTTCACTTTCAAAACCCCAACTGTATCAACCAGGGTCCAATTAAGACACAGAAACCATACTATAATTTGGTTGGGGAAAGTTCTATGTAAAAAAAATTGGCTGCTAAGCAGCAACAAAAGAGAATTGGCTGCTAATATGGCAACAAGAAATCTAAAGAATAGAGGACTGACATGTACAGAAAGTGGCCACTATCCCCAGGGCTGAGGCAGAGCACACAAGGATGGAATGACTATGGAAGAGCAGCCCCCGCTACTCGAGCTTAGAGCCAGACCTCGATGGGAAGTACACAGCCATGACTTACTGAGCAGTGCAGTCACTGAGGGGCCTGCTGGCAGGACTCACTGGCAATTCACCTTCTGGGGTCCTGGGAGAAGATGCCTATGGAAACACATGCTGCTGGTCACTGGCCACTGGGCACTACAAAAGCCTGCCTAGATTAAAAAAAAAAAAACACTAAACTAGGAAATACTGTTCATCCTCCGGTGTCCCCTACTGATAAAGCATATAACATCATACTAGCTAACCAAGGGGAAAGGTTCCAATATCACAAGCATGCAACGAAGGTGGATTTGGAGCTGAGAGGCCAGAGGTCATAACCAGTGCCCCAATCCTGGTGAAATCAAATTCTATGCCTATTCCACACTGGCCCCTGTGCAGCTATATGCAGGTAGAGAAAACAACAACAATATCAACAACCACCACCCAACTGATTGGTCCAACTGGTCTTGTCATTAGGTCTCAAATGGTCATTAGTGTGGCCAGCAATCCTATCACATTTTCATGCTGCTTACTAACCTGCTGACCTGGATGATTATTTGACACCTTCTCCTCACTCCTCAAACATAAAATACCTTTTCCCCAACCCACTCACTCTCTCCATGATGAACTTGGTTCCTATTTCACAAAGAAAATAGAAGCATTGGGAACTTTTGCAAGCTCGCACCACCACACCTGCACACCTACCAATATCTGCACCCACATCCTTTTCCTTCCCACTGCGTGACAGATATCAGGGCTCCTCTCTAAGGACATCCCCTCTGCTTCTCCCATCAGACTCCCATCCCCTCTTGCCTGCTCAAGAAAATCACTCTGCTTCTCTCTCTTTCTCTCTCTCTCTCTGTCTCTCTCTCTCTCTCCTTTCCCGACAGCATCAATTTCTCCCCTCCACTGGACCATTCCTAACAGAATACATAAAATACATCTAAAAAATGCACACACTCTTTACCCCCCACCCCTCCAACTTCTGCCTCATTTCTTTGCTCTTATTTATAGAAAAAGTCTTTTTTATTAACTTGTCTATATTCATTGTCTGCAATTTTTCTCTTCTAACTCCCCTTGCACTTACTCCAGTGAGGTATTTATCACCACCAGACCACTGAGACAGTATTTTCAAGGTCACCAGTAACCAGGGCCACCCCTAGTATACAAAGCCCTGAAAAAATATTTTATAGGACCCTTGTCCATCTAAACAATTTAATTTAAAAAGGTATTTCAAAATGTGCAGGCCTATGTGAGGTGTTGACATTTGTCAATGAAGATCTAGAGTAATCCATAGAGAAGAGGTACTTACAAATGTGTTTATTGTTCTATCACTGCACGTGAAGATTCTTCATAGAGTTCAGACAACAAATATTCCTGTTCAGATCCAGGAAATATCTGCCCATGCTCTTTTGGTTAATGTTTTATTTCCTATTGTGAGAAAGAGGCAGCAACATTGTTGTCACTCACAATATCATGGCTTTTGGAACCTGTTTGTATTGAAACAATATAGTTTTGGGTTTGGGTTTTGGTTTTTTGCCTCTGTGGTTCTCTGATACCATTTGTGTAATGTTGGTTGCATCTTTACTGATGATGCTGCATCATTCATCATGGCACCTGCAAATACTGGCATCCAACCACTCTCTCAGAGGTTGTTTCTGTACTTCATTAATAATGACCAAAATGCAAGCCTTGTCCAGAATATTCAGGAAAGTATGAACGATAATTTATTTTTCATTTGGAGTTTTATAGTGTTAACATAAAGTGACACATCTTCCAACCATGTATTCTCTTGAATTCTTCAGGCCATTATAACTACATTGTTAGAATGTGATCCCTTTCAACATTTCCTGCACCTCAGCTTCTGCACACCACCACCAAAAGAGAGGAAAGGCAAGGAGACGTGACTGGAGCAAGAAAAACAGTGTTTTTCATACAAGGATGTCCATTCCTTGTTGGGAATGGCTTAAGATCGACCTGAGAAAGCAAAACATCGCCATATCATTTGGAGGCAAGGCACTGGTTGGAAGAGCCTGTTGGTGTGGCAAAGCCAAGGTCTTTAAAGTCCTCAGAGAAGGCAGGCACAGCCACCACTGGAGGACTTCCTGATGTGTGGTACAGAGACTGATGAGGGCATGGGGTGAAAACCTTAGGTGCCAACAGCAAGGGGATGGATATACAGGGTGAAGGAGGCTTGCTGCCATCCTATGCCTTTGAACGCTGCAAATCAGAGATGGTATCATGGAGGAACATGGACAGGTGAGAGCTGAGGCATGGGCCCCCACACACAGCCCAAGCCCGTGTGCTAACAGTTGACCATCAGTAGCCCAGTGCCCTGAATTCATCCTGTGCCTAATGTGAGGATCACCCAAAAGCAGTGTATCAGCACCATTCTGGTGGCTCAATGTCACACAACGGCACCAGCCAGCAGGAACAATCCAATTGCCAGGCTGCCCTCCTGGACAGGGCTGAAGCCACAGAGCCCTCAGACAACTCCACTGATGCAATCTTAGAGTTCCTCAAGGTAACAGGTCAACCCTGCACATGGAGTGGAGATTCAGAAAGGCCCCAGAAAGGAAAAAAACAAGGATCAGGGTCCATGTATGTCCCTGTATGGGGCTGCCATTTGTCCTAACCACCCTGGGTCTGCCACAGCTGAGCCAGCCTTACTGGAAGAGGATTGTATTCTTTTGCCACTTACTGTGTTGCCCTAGCTTCCTTCCAGGGGGTCTTCATTTTGTCCTGGGCTCAACCTTACCTTTGATCACTTTAGAACCCAGGCACAAGATTTCACATTGCTAGGAATCCATTTTCAGTCTTTGAAAAGACCCAGTGATTCTTCAGGAAGCTTGTTATCCCAAAGATGCAGCAGAGACAGAGTTTCCCAGCTTGAAGGGATTTGAAACATCCGTAAAGTTATAGAAATTCATATCCGGAGGAGCCTTAACAGTCATTCAGACCAACGCTTTCTCAGATACCTATACCATCCAATGCCCTAGTTTCCCTGCTGTCTTTTTTGGTCGCTCCTTTTCAGTCTCCTTTGCAGGCTACCCTTTACAGGGCTCAGTCTCCACACTCTTTTGTTCTCTCTAGATTTTCCCCAGGTGACCTCACCCAGGTCTATGGCTTTAAATACCATCCATATGTTGATAATTCCCAAATTTATATTTCCAGTCCCAAGCTCTCCACTGAGTTTCAGGCTCATATATCCAAATGTCTACTTCTTGCCATCAGTATATCTTACAAACCTCTCAAGTTTGATGTGCCTAAAACAGGACTCTGGATTTTACCTTTTGTGCGTATCAGTGAGTTCCTCTCTTAGTCTTCCAATCACAGGAAAGGGCTCCACCGTCAAGACAGACACGAGCCTAAAACCCAAGAATTCTTCTTGTTTCCTGCCTTCCTTTCCTTCTCTCACATTCGGTCTCTTGGTAGATGTGTTCATTTACTTCCACCATTTCTATCTACTTCTCTTCGTCTCCAGTGCCAACGTTCTTGTCCAAGCCATCACTGTCTCTCCCCGAACCATCCAACAGCATCCTAACTGGTTTTCCCTATTCTTATCTCACCTCAATCCATTCTCTGCATATTAGCTTGAGTGATCCTTTCAAGAGGTGAATACAAACCTTAAATCTTTCAACAGTCCTCACTGCATCCAGAATAAAATCCAAGCTCCTATAACTGCCTAATATGGCTTCTGTCCACCTCTAACCTCAAATCTTACCTTCTGCCCTTGCTGTGCTCAAGCCTCTCTGGCCTTTCATTTCCTTAAACACACCAAGCCTTTCCAGCCTCAGAGACTTTACAATTCTTCCTAGAGTGCTCGTCCACTAATTTCTTTAGGTCGTAGTTTGTGGTCATTTGAAAACATGTCCACAAACTCTTTTCTATCCTACAAAAAGGGGGAATCCAATTCCCCTCCCCTTGAACATGCACTAGCCTCAGTGGCTTGCTACTAATGAATTAAATGGTACAGAAGTGACTGTGTAACTTCTCAGACTAGGTAACCAATGATGGCACAGCCTCTACCTGGTTCTCTGTCTTGTGAGGCTCACCCTTGGAACCCAGCCACCATGCTGTGGCAAAGCCATGCAGACAGTCGCCTTGTCTGTTGTTGAGTAAACCAGTGCCTCCTCTTGTGCCTGCGATGCCTGCCAGCACATGTCTTTCTCAGAGGTGGGAATATTGTCTCTTTGGGAAACAATGGGTAGAGGGATTGAAGCAGGAGAATTTTCAGGGAATCACTCTTGCAAAAGATGCTGCACTCTGGCAGACTTGATAATGACAAATATGTCAAGCAACTGAGTTTTAGCAGCAGGGTTCCTTGGGGCCCTGTTCACCAACTTGTGGTTTCCGTAGTGACAGGACAGCTGCCGGGTAGATGGGGGCTTTGGGGCCACCTGCCTGGCTCTGACAATAACTGGCTTTGACAGCTTTGATTGGAATGAAAAGATTTAGGGTCCCTGTGGCTTTCTTAAATTAAACCCTCTCTCCTGGAGTTAGTTTGTTTATCAACATTGTCTTAGATTAGGGGACTTTCCTGTGATGAGGGAGTTCTTTTACCATGATGGTTGACTTGTCGGGGCCACTGGCAGGGTTTCTGAGATCAGGCTCCTCAGAACAGCACAGCAAGGTAAGCCTACACTCTGATGTGCTTCTCAGGCAATGCCTCCAAGGGGCATGTTAACAGTCAGGTCTAATTAGGAAAGAAAACAGGAAACAGGCCTGTATTTTAACAGAAAGAATTTAATCTAGGCAATTGAGTAAGCAGGTATTAGAGACTGAAAGGCAAAAAGGAAGTATCAAGATAAACACAGGGATGGTAACTGCCAGAGGCAGCTCTACCTCTGGGGCTGAAGAACGCAGGGAAGATACTGGGGTTGCAATAATTTAGAAGCTTGGAAGAGGAGACCTGCGGAGCTGGGACCTAGGCTTCCAAGGAGGGGTGACTGCATAGTATCTCTGAGGCTGGAGTTGAGGGTCCAGAAAATGTTGGAGACTGGAACCCATTGCTATTGAGGTAAACTGAAAGGTGAAAAGTCATTGTTGGGGTGATGCTCACAGGGACAAGCAGTGAGGAAGAGGCAAGTCCTTGCTCCCTCCTGCCAATTTACCATCCCTCCTTACTGACAGAGCCCCACATGGAGCCAGCTGGCCACAGAGCAGTGTGGTTTGCCAAGTCCCAGCCCCAGAATCACAGGGTAGAGTACAGACAGGTGAGTCTCACCTTACAGACATCAGCTTCATAACCAGCACAGAGAGTGTGAACAAGATGACAGTGGTAGGCCCTGAGATAGAACAGCCAGGCCCAAAATACCCACACTTACCCTCCACTGGTAGAAATCTCCTAATGTGGCCAGGAGTGGTGGCTCACGCCTATAATCCCAGCACTTTGGGAGACCAAGGCAGGCGGATCACCTGAGGTTGGGAGTTCAAGACTAGCCTGACCAACATGGAGAAACCCCATCTCTACAAAAAATAAAATAAAATAAAAAATACAGGGCCAGGCGCGGTGGCTCAAACCTGTAATTCCAGCACTTTGGGAGGCTGAGGCCTCAATCTCATGAGGTCAGGAGATTCAGACCATCTTGGTCAACACGGTGAAACCCCATCTCTACTAAAAATACAAAAAATTAGCCAGGTGTGGTGGCGGGCGCCTGTAGTCCCAGCTACTCGGAAGACTGAAGCAAGAGAATCGCTTGAACCCGGGAGGCAGAGGTTGCAGCAAGCCAAGATCGTGCCACTGCACTCTAGCCTGGGCAACAGAGCTAGACTCTATCTCAAAAAAAAAAAAAAATACAAAATTAGCTAGGCGTGCTGACACATGCCTGTAATCCTAGCAACTGGGGACGCTGAGGCAGGGGAATCGTTTGAACCTGGGAGGCGGAGGTTGCAGTGTGCCGAGATTGCACCATTGCACTCCAGCCTGGGCAACAAGAGCGAAATTCTGTCTCAAAAAAAAAAAAAAGGAAAATAAAAAGAAAGAAAGAAAAGGAAAGAAATCACCTAATGTGTGCTCAGTTCTTTACACTTTACAAAGAGCTTCTTATGTTATCTTATTTAAAGGCAGAAAACCGTCTATGTGTGCTGGCACTGACCACCACATGAGAACAAGACACCGTCCCAAGCGCCCAGCATTGGTGTCTTTTGCTTTTACTTTGTCCCTGAGCGCCTGAGGAACAGCCTGATGCAGCCTCACCTGAGCATTTCCTGAGATGTGGATGTTTTGTATCTTGGGCATAAGTAGGCAGGTCACCAAGCAGGACAGTAACCCTGCCCCCAACCCTATGTTAGCCAGAATATCTCTACGAACATTCGTTTCTCATACTGGGTCTCCAGGTAAGTTTACATTTGAAGAGGAAGTTCTGCAGTGAACAATAGCTTGGAAACATTTGCCCTAGAAGGAGAAACCTTCAAGCTGCCAGCCACCA